GCACCCCCCCCCCCAGCCATTCCCAGTGGGGCCAGATGTGGCTGTAGGGGCCACGGCGGAGATGCAGCAGCAGGGTGCAGCCACCTGGGGGCAGAAACAGGAGGCAGTGTTACTTGAGACCCCGCCCACCCCTAATGCCCCACCCCTCCTGCACCCAGCACAGCCCCTTCCCCTCCCAGCCCCACCCACAAATCCTGTACCCACCCCACAACCCCATGGCCCCACCCACATGCTGTGGCCCCACCCACTCTTAGCCCTGCCCCCTCCACCCACACATGCCCACTTGCATTGGCTCCACCCTTTACACCACGCCTTTACCTCACCCCTGCACCTAGACCCCCACCCATATAGCTCCATAGGTTCCCCCCCCAGGGTCGGCCACGCCCCTTGTCCCAGGGCCACGCCCCCTGGCCCTTAGCCCCACCCTCAGGACTCACCTGCAAGCAGCAGGGCAAGAGGCCCAGCCCAGCCCAGGCTGAATGACCAGCCGAAGCTGCTCTGAACCTGGGCGGATGCGGCGGAGTCCCAGACGCCAGCTGTGAACACCACCATGGCCACCAGCCCCAGCACCCCTAGGGCAAGAGAGAGGGTGTGAGACCCCCGGCCTGCAGACCCAGGCATCCGGGGGCAGGGGGAGGGGGCAGGGAATCTTACCTGCAGCAAAGCCGACGATGGTGGCGCCTGGCCCAACGCCCGAGTCCCTGCAGGGGCAGGAGGTGACAGCAGCGACAGCCAGCACTATGTACAGCACCCCCAGCACCGCTGCCAGCGCCAGGCAGATCCGTGTGGCCTGGACTGTGCCTGTGGCACACGGCAAGTTAATGTTCTGCCCCAGAGTCAGCTGCAACTGGTGCCATTACACCCAGCCACCCACCCCAGAGCCAGCCACCCCCAGCCCTGTTCCACCCGCCTGGCCCCCGTACCGGTGACATCCCTGGAGGTGACGCAGATCTCTTGCAGTCCGGTGACGCAGACCTGCCAGAGCCCGCTGTGCCCCGTGTGCTGGGGCCCGCGGCTCAGCATCCAGTACTCGGTGCTCAGCGCCGTGAGAAGCAGCATCTCCCCTAGCCCTGCTAGCAGGCAGGCGGCCACCCCCCAGCCTGGCATGGTGCTGCTGAGACACCCCAGAGCTGGACACAGCTGCCTGGCATGGACCCAAGCAGGTGTCCAGGCTCCTGCTGCCCCCCACCCCATTCTCAGCCCCCTGGTCTCATGCCACACCCAGAGAACCCAAGTGTCCTGCCCCCCAGCCTCCCCCCCCAGGTCTCACTCCACCCAAAGAACTGAGGCATCCAGGCTCCCAGCCCCCTGCTCCCACCTCTAGGCCTCACTCCCGCACAGCGAACCCAGGTGTCTGGACACCCAGCCTGCCCTGCTCTCCCCCACACCATTTTCCCGGCACTGGTGGGGAGACGCCCCCCCCAGAGCTAGGCGCATTGTGGTGACAAAGGGATGTCCCACCTCCTGAGGTGACTCATTTCTGCTGTGAGGTGGCTAGGCCTCAGCCCGGACGCCTGAGTTCTCTGGGAGGGGGGTGGGGGCTGGTGTGAAAGTGGGGAGGCCCAGCCTGCCCTGCTCTCCCCCACACCATTTTCCCGGCACTGGTGGGGAGACGCCCCCCCCAGAGCTAGGCGCATTGTGGTGACAAAGGGATGTCCCACCTCCTGAGGTGACTCATTTCTGCTGTGAGGTGGCTAGGCCTCAGCCCGGACGCCTGAGTTCTCTGGGAGGGGGGTGGGGGCTGGTGTGAAAGTGGGGAGGAGGGTCCCCTCGACCACTTCCTGGCACTTTTCACAGGTTCCTGACGTCATTGGCAGAAGGGCGGGGAGCCCAGACACCTGGGTTCTCTGCAGCTCTGGGAGGGGACTGGGGGCTATGGGGAAGGGGCAAGGGCTGGGAGCCTGGATGCCTGGTTTCTGTGCCG